CTGTATATACATATATATACATATTTATTTATTTATTTATTTATTTATATAGAGGAGGCAAAAAGGAACAAAATAGATATAATTAGAGGGCTGTATCTTTTATATTTATTTTTTTATCATTTTTTCCCTATTTATAAACCCTAAACCCTAAACCCTAAACCCTAAACCCTAAACCCTAAACCCTAATTTAATAAATATTAGGGTTTTCTTACTTCATGCCAAAAACAAAACCATCATCAGCATTATCATCAATTAATCTTTCTCCTTCTTCTTCTGCTTGTAACTCCTCTGCATCTAATCTTCTTGTTGCCTATATATAATTAATAATAATTAATAATAATAAACCCTAAACCCTAATAAACCCTAAACCCTAGCAAATAATAATGTGTAAACATTTTTGCACAGTTAAGACAACACATACAATAGAATAACTCCCTAAACCCTAATAAACCCTCATAAACCCTAATAAAACCCTCATAAACTCTAAACCCTCGTAAACCCTCATAAGTAAACCCTAAACCCTCGTAAACCCTAAACCCTAGCATACTTGTAGATAGTCATAGTTCTCATCATTATCTTGGTTATCTTCTTCTTCCTCTTCATCGTCAATTTCAGGGTCAGACACTGCACATAAACCCTAAACCCTAAACCCTAAACCCTAAACCCTAGCAAACCCTAGTAAACCCTAGGAAACCCTAGGAAACCGTATAGAACAATAGTAAACACTAAACCCTCGTAAACCCTAGAGAAGGGGGAAGGGGAGTTAGGGTTAGGGTTTAGGGTTTAGTCATAAACTTACGGCGAGCCTGACGCTCTTCCTCCGACTCGTGCGAATGGCTAGACGGCTGCAGCAGCAGCAGCAGCAGCAGCAGCAGCAGAAGCAGCAGCAAACAGCAGCAGCAGCAGCAGCAGCAGCAGAAGATAATATCTTATGTTGTATAGACATCAAACCCTCCCTTATATAACTACTAAAGGATACACAGCAAACCCTAAACCCTAAACCCTAAACCCTAGTAAGTACGTACCATTTTGTGAGTAGATTAGGCAGCAGCAGCAAATGCAGCTTTTGCTGCAGCAGCAGCAGCAGCAAATGTTGCTGTTGCTATATAAGAAGAAAAGAAGGAAAAAAAAGAAGAAAAAAAGGAAGAAAAAAGAAGAAAAAGAAGAAAAACAACAAGGAGGAAATAAAAAGGATAAAGAAGAAGAAACAAATAAGAAAAGAAAACAGGGAGGGATCCTTAAAGAGCCAGGCTAAACCCTAAACCCTAAACCCTAAACCCTAAACCCTAATAAAATAAAAAAATAAATAAATAAAGATAAATAAGAGGTAAAAAGGAAGAAAAAGAAGAAGAGTTATTTAGGGTTTATATTGTTGTTATTTGTGTGGGGTGTACATACACCTAAATAAAGATATTTTTCTTCTTTTTATGAATAAAAAAGAATAAAATAGAGTAAATAAATAAATAAACATATACAAATTACATTTATTTCCTTTTTTATCCTCATTTATACCGAACTTTTCTCCTTTTTTCTCCTTTTTTGCCACCATAAGCCACCGGTGGTGGGGTGGTGGGTGTTTATTAGTGTTTAGGGTTTAGGGTTTAGGGTTTAGGGTCGGGGGATTCTTGAGGTCATTTTTTGTTGTTTTTTTTTCCTTTTTTTGATGAAATAAATTATATTTACTTAAATTATTTATTTAATTAAATAAAAACAATAAAAAAGACCTATTTAGGTGTATAGGTAGCTCATTTATATCTATATAATGATGTATATACCTCCTGATTGCGGTGTATGTACATGCATCTACACCTCATGAGGTGTACAGACACCTCAATAAAAGGGAATTAATTATTATTTATTTATTTATAAAGGAAATAAATAATAAATAATAAAAGAAAATAAAATATATAATAAACTATAAAAGAAGGGAAGAAGGGAAGGCAATTATAATAATGTACTCCTCCAGTCTCTCTCTAGCTCTTCCGAGTTCTAGGGTTTAGGGTTTAGGGTTTAGGGTTTACAGACACCATTAACATTAATGCTGCCTCTATCTGCTCTTGAGGGTTTTATAAACCCTACATCTTGTTACCATAGAGGCATGCCTGTGTAGGGTTTAGGGTTTAGGGTTTAGCTAGGGTTTATAAGACTTAATGTCTACTCTGCATCAACCATAGAATCTTGTTTGTAGGGTTTAGGGTTTAGGGTTTAGGGTTTATCTCCTCTTCCCCCACAAACTGTTCATATTAAAACTTCTGTATAAATAAACACATCTAATAAAAGAAACAAAGAGGGCATAAACCCTCAAACCCTAAACCCTAAACCCTAAACCCTATTGAAACAAGAAGGTGCCTATGAGGTATAAAAGGCCTTAGGGTTTAGGGTTTAGGGTTTAGGGTTTAGGGTATATTAAAGGCTGCCGCCTTCCCTTGCAGGGTAAACTATACAGCAAAGGGCACTACACTATGCAACGCCTAAACCCTAAACCCTAAACCCTAAACCCCTAAACCCTAAACCCTAAATAAGGGTTTTAATCAAGCCGTCCCTTCAATCGCTCAGCAACAGCAGCAGATTCAAAGGCGCGTCGTAACTCTTGGACCTATACACAACAAACCCTAAACCCTAAACCCTAAACCCTAAACACTAAACCCTAAACCCTGTGCTCCTTCTCCTCAGTAGCATCGCACCGATCCATTAAACCCCTAAGGTCTTAAACCCTAAACCCTTAATGGCAGTAAACCCTATACCCTACCCCCTAAGAGGCTGTAAACCCTAAACCCTAAACCCCAAACCCTAAACCCTACCTTCCCTACAGAAGGAAAATAATTAGATGATGCGCTTGCATTGCTCTTAGCAGGAACCTAAAGAAAAAAAAAAGAAAGAAATATACTTTGCTGCTGCTGCTGCTGCTGCTGCTGCTGTTGTTGCTGCTGCTGTTGCTGCTGCTGTTGCTGCTGTTTTTTACCTTTTCTTTTGCTGCAGAAGAGAAGATGGATGTGTGGGGTTTTGTCTCCTTTGCTGCTGCAGCAAATCTTTGTAAGGAGACAGTTGATGCTGCTGCTGCTGCTGCTGCTGCTGCTGGTGTATCATCTGTTCTTTTCTTTATTAAACATGTCCTGTCTCCTGTTGCTGCAGCTGCTGCTGCTCCTGCTGCTGCTACTCGTGCTGCTGCAGCAAAGCTGCTGCGCTGCTGCGGCGACTGGCAGCGATAAAGGCAGCAAATAGAAGACACACACTGAGGTACACTACGACGTCCTGCAACACAGCAGCAGCAGCAGCAGCAGCAGCAGCAGCAACAGCAGCAGCAGCAGCAGCAGCAACACCGGCGACAGCACGGGGTATGAGAGAGGAAGCAAAAAGGGAAGTTATACAGCAGCAGCAAAAACAGCAGCAGCAGCGATTAAAGCAGCAACCACAGCAGCAGCAACAGCAGCAGCAGCAACAGCAACAGCAGCAGCAAGATGTTACCTGAGGAGGTGAGCACCATTCCCTTTGGCTGTGTTGCTGCTGCTGCATTGCTGCTGCTGCTGCTGTGCTGCTGTATTGTGTCTTTAGGTAACTCCGATGCCCATAGCTGAACACAAAACGCATGCAAACAGCTCCTGTGCTGCTGTTGCTGCTGCTGCTGCTCTTGCTGCTGTTTTTTCTGCTGCTGTTGCTGCTGTTGCTGCTGTTGCTGCTGCTGCTGCAGGAGCAGCAGCAGACAAGATTACTCTTCTGTGGCTGTACCCAGCCGAGGCAGCGGCTCAGAGCAACACAGCAGCAGCAACAACGACAGCAAATGCAGCAGCAGCAGCAACAGCAGCAGCAGCAGCAGCACTGCTTACAGCCCACGGGGGACAATCAACTACACAAGAAGAAGAGGAGACACCGCCAAGTCCTGAATGTTCATACAATACCCACTCTACCTCCTGCTGCTGCTGCTGCTGCTGCTGATGCTGACGCTCCTGTTGCTGCTGCTGCTGATGGTGCTGCTGCAGCGGCAGGACTTCGCCAAAAGCAGCAAGGAAGTATGCCTGTAGATCTAGGACCTCAGCAGACAGCAGCAAGCTGCTGTTGCTGCTGCTGTTGTTGTTGCTGCTGTCTGTCTCCTCTGCTGCGCTGCTGCCACCAACAGCAAGCAGCAGCGGACGGCCATCAGCAGCAAACCACAGCAGCAAAGCAGCATCTACTCGTGCTATATTCAGGGGAGGGCCTGCACGGCAAACAGCAGCAGCAGACAACAACATACACTTGCAGCAGCAGCAGCAGCAGGAGCAACAGCAACAATAGCAGCAGCAGCAGCAGCAACAGCAGCAAACGACCTCAGAGGCCAACAACAACAGGCGCACATAACACACAGAACACAAACGGCAGCAAGACCAGAAGCAACAGCAGCAGCAAAAGCAGCAGCAGCACCAACAGCAGCAGCAGCAGCAGCAGCAGCAGCAGCAGCAGCAGCAGCAGCTATAGATGCAGACCTTCAATCCAAGTGTTAGTGATTGTATCAAACACTTCTACAGAATTTAATGCACGAACACCTCCTAAACCCCCTAAACACAAACCCTAAACCCTAAACCCTAAACCCTAAACCCTAAACCCTAAACCCTATTATTCCCTAAACTTTAAACCCTAGAGAGTATACTTGAAGCCAACCTAATCACCCTCTTGAATGCTAGACCCTCACCTTTATCCCTTTAAACCCTAAACCCTAAACCCTAAACCCTAAAAACCCTAAACCCTAAACCCTAATGCATACCAACACAGAATATTTTTCCCTTAATATGTTGAGCAGCAAAGCGGCAACGCGCTTGCTGCATTGATGGCAGCAAACCCCAAGGACGTATACACCCTTTTATATAAGGACGGTTGCTGCTGCGGGGAGTTAATATACCTTCTCCTGCTGCTGCTGCTGCTGCTGCTGTTGCTGTTGCTGCTGTTGCTGTTGGTGTTGACGGTGCTGCTGTTGTTGCTGCTGTTGTTGCTGCTGCTTCTTGGCCTGCGTGGGAAGCAGGAGTAGTTTC